CCCGATAAACAATTTTTCCCCCCCCCCCCCCCCCCCGCCCCCCGCCGGCCCCGGTGGTGGAGAGAGAGAGAGAGAGAGAAGAAGAGGTAAGAAAGAAGGAGGGGGAGAGGTGGAGGGACTGTTCTATTGGTTTTAGTACTGACTACATATTAAAAGTAATACTTTTAGTATATTACATTAATGTCAATCCTACGATCTCTTTACTCTGTGAGTGGGACAGACAGAATAGTCAAAGCTTTATGTGACTGTCACTGTACCTCCATTGCACAAAGCTCTCTAAAAGGTGTAGAATAATCATACCTTCCAGTAATTTCTGAAGGCTGGATCTCATGACATGAATATTTTCTATTCCAACAAATTGAAATCTAATATTAGAATAGTTGTCTTCATTTTCATAACCTTTTCCAGCTGCTCTGTTAGCCATTGCATTGAGCTAAAATTCAAAATTTTAGAAATTTACAGTCAAATTATTTTATCTTTAATTTATCAAAATGTCATAAAAACACTAAGTCACACTTTATAGGCAGGATAACATTTAAAGAAACTCATCAAAATTGAATAAGCTACTATTTTTTAATAAGCAAACCTGCCATATCACCAGCAGTGCAGACAGGCAGTGTACAGGGAAATGTGTCACACAGAGGAAAGCCTAGTCAAAAAGACTCAAAATTCAGAAAGATAATTCAAGTACTTTCTCATCAGCTTTCCACATTTCTGTGACATCTCAAAATTAAAAAGGAATATTTCCCATCTAAATCTGGATTTAGAGACAGGCAGAGCTGGAAAGCTCAGTTTACAGAATTGTCTGTGAGATCAAACCATAGAGGTCCTGAGAACCAGATGTGAATTACGGTCTATGCCACCACGCTTATCCATGGAGACCCAGCATTGTACCTCAGCTATGTGTGTGTACAGCATCATCCACCAGCCTAGCACAGCTCCAAGAATCGTGCCTCACATAAACTGCTCTCCAGAGGGGAACAGACACTGATCTGAGACACCCTTAAGATTTGGCTTGCTGGCTTCTTTTATAAAGTATGTTACTATAATTACTATTCTTTTCATATGAGTGGGGATAAAGAAAATGACCTAAACTGGGTGAAAGTAGCTTTTCATTAAGTGAATGACCTGTGCTTGGTAGCAAGTACAGGTGAACTGTACCTGCTGGCTCAACAGTTACCCAGCCATCTATGAAGACTGAAGTAAAACTCAGTATGTCCACATTACTACTACCTAATTCTAAACTTAGAAAAGCAAGTGAAAAATATTTCTGTATCCATGACAATTATATAAATAAAAACTATTAAGTCTTGAGCTACAAATCACAGTCAGATATAATCACCTTTTATGTATAATATTACCTAAAAAAGAATCATGAGCTCATAAGTTCCTAGTAACAAGGGAACACAATTTTTATGAGACATGACCAACTCAAGTCTTAGATTATCAATACCAAGTCCTAATTTTTGATACTTTCTAATTTACTCGAATTATTCTCATCGTCTGTGTTCTCCATTGTCTTTTGTAAGACTGTACAGTGATGGCAACCACTGTGCAGCAGCTCTGGCCCCTCTCACAGTGCTGCCTACAATCGTTCTACAGTGCTCACTCGCTTTTTCTCATCGCTTTCTCTTATTTTCTCATCATTCCAGATTTTTGAAGAAATCCTCACTATAATTCTGCCAATGTCCTTTTGTGTATCCCACCAGCTCTGCATGCGATGCTACAATAAAAATCAAAATAAAGTTAGCTCTCACCGTTGAAGATTGTAATTACTCTAATTTCAGGGTCCTATGTGAATCAGCTGTTTACTGTGCACATAAAAAGAAGTAAGGACTCTGGTTTGGTCTCAATGATAAGAATTCAGCCTGGTACCAGAGACAGCAGGAGAACAGCAATGTCCTGTTCATTACAGTTCTCTAGCTCAAAGTTTCCTCATATAGTAACTGTTCCCTCTTTTTTTTCAATCTTTCACATTATGGCCAAATTACTTTAACCCAAAGTGTTTTGTTAATTAACAGTTTTATTAATGAAGAATAAGGTGGGTGCAGTGGTGCATGCCTATAATTCCAGCGTTTGGGAGGTGGAGGTGGGGGATCAAGGTTAGCTACATAGTACAAATGCTACATGAGAGCCTGTCACAAAGAAACTAAGTATCAACAGCAAAAAGGAAAGTAAAGGAGGGGGAGGAGGCATTAAGAATTTCTAAATTTTTATATCTAGCTAATATTACTTTACAATAACATAAGACTTAATATATCCTCAAGAGTTCTATAAGTGGCAGAATGTGGTGGCTCACATCTTTAATTCTAGCACTTGGGAGGCAGAGACAAGAAGATCTCTGAGTTCTAGGCCAGCCTAGTCCAGAGTGAGTTCCATGTCAGCCAGAGCTATACAGTGAAATCATCATGAAAAATCAAACCAAACCAAACCACAACAAAAAAGAAAACATAGTGCCATTTGTCCGTGTGTGTGTATATAGGTAGGTAGGTAGGTACATATATATATATATATATATATATGTATATATTATCTATATATCAGGAGGCAGAAAAAATTATGACCTAGGGCATTGAGAACTTTAGTATCCCTCAAAGGACAGATTTTCTTCATAGTATTAGTCTTGGTTAATTTAAAACTACAATTCAGGTATGTCATATTTGGGCAATTATATTTATTCCCATTAAAAAAAGACATGAAACAATAAGATAGCAGACTGCATAGTATTGGATACATACCTTGGGCCTGGTATCCACAACGTACATGTAGCGGTTCCCTGGGTTGGCTTTACTAATGGCCTGAAGCAAGTGCTCATCCTCTAGGCACCTGGCACTGAAACCTGACAATGGCTGACTACATCGACAAATGACAGCCTAATTTCAAAAAGACAAAAAACAGATTATAAAAAGACTCTAAAGGCTTAAAAAAAAAGACTCAAAGTAGTATAATCAAACACACAATCTATTTAAAAGTTAGAAAGAAATTTAGACAGTATTAACTTTTACAAAATTATTTGATTTAAATACTTCTCAAAATCTAGATGCTGCCTACACTTCCTGTGGTGGTTGCATAAAAATGGCTCCCATAGACTCATAGATCAGAGTGGCATTATTGAAGGTGTGGCCTTGTTGGAATAGCTGTGGCCTTGTTGTAGGAATTGTATCATGGGACGTATTTCAGAAGCTCAAGCCAGGCCTTCTCTTCTCTCTGCCTGCTGATCCAGATGTAGAACTCTCAGCTATTTCTCCAGCACCATGTCTGCCTGCATACGGCCATGCTTCTTGCCTTGAAGATAATGGACCAAACCTTTGAACATGTAAGCAAGCCATAGTAAAATATTTTCCTTTATTCCTGTGGTCACAGTATTCACAGCAATAAAACTGTAAGACGTTCCAATAGTCCAATATTAAATATTCCAGTATTTTATTCTAAGAAAATTAAATTTTCCTTACCTAGTTTGTGTACACACACATCCCCCAAAATTAAACTAGGAACACTGTGGCCCTAAGGAGCAGCACTTGGTAAACTGTCTATCAAGGAGCCAACCCTAAGGAAACATCTGCATTCCAGGTTTTTGATGAGCTACCAGGTACTTTCAACTCAAGTTCAAGTAAAGAAGATGGGTTAACAGTACATATAGAATAAGAAATTTTAAGATTTTTATTTATGAGTGTGTACCTATGCAAGTGCATGCCACTTGTATGTGGTTCCCCTCAGAAGCCAGAAGGGAGTATTCAGTACTCTGGAGCTGGAATTACAGGCAATTTTGACATGGGTGCTGGGAACTCAACTCAATCCTCTGGAAGAGCAGGAAGCATTCTTAACCACTGTAACAGCTCTCTCTCTTACCAGAGCTTTTAATCTTGGCCAGGAGAGATGGTTTGACAGGTAAGAGCACCCACTGCTCTACCAGAGGGCAGCACCTGCATGGCGGCTCACAATCTTTTGTAACTCTAGTTCCAGGGGATCCTCTAAGCACCAGGCACATGCATGGTACACAAACAAACATTCAAGCAAACCACCTACTTGTGTGTGGTGGTTTGAATATGCATGGCCCATAGGGAGTGGTACTGTTAGGAGGTGTGGCCTTGTTGGAGGAAGTGTGTCACTGTGGGGTGGGCTTTGAAGCTCAGTGTGGAAGTGTCAGCTTTCTCCTGGATGCAGTCAGATCAAGATGCAGAATTCTCAGCTCATCTCATGCCATCCCTGCCAGGAAGCTGCCATGCTCCTGCCTATATGATAGTGAACTGAATCTCTGAACCGGTAAGCCAGCCCCAACTAAATATTGCCCTTTATAGAGTTGCCTTGGTCATGGTGTCTCTTCACCAAAATACCACAAAAACATTCTCTAGGTCACATGCTGAAATTCTCCACTGAAACCTCTTGGGCCAGGTCTGCACAGTTCAAACTAAGACAAAGTGTAAAATAAAAATTAAAAAATAAACTTACAGTTGAAATTTTATTTCCCTACTAAAAAACATAAAGCTTTGTATAAAGTGAGACATAAAGATTTAAAAGATAATCTAAGAGGAGGCATATCTGTAAAAAATGAATTAGTGAATATTTTAATTCCTTAAAACATTAAAAGACTGCAAGTGAGGTGGTGTAAGTCTTTAATCCCTGCACGTGGGAAGCAGAAGCAGGCGGATTTATGTGAATTTGAGGCCATCTTGGTCTACAGAGTGGGTTCCAGGACAACCAGGGCTACAAAGAGAAACCTGTCTTGGAACCCCACCCCCACCCCATCCTACCCCTTCCTGATAGAAAAATAAATAGATAAAAGATTTAGAAGCATATATCCCTCTGTAATCTGACCCATGTCACCTCCAGCTTAACTCTACAGAAACATTCCAACAGAGTATCATCAGGACAAAGTGTTACAAGTATAAATGCTTGCATATTTTACACACACACACAAAATACAACCTCAAAAATTACAATGGCAGAAGAAAATGAGAACTATTGTGTTGTTTTTAGTGTTCAAAAGTTTTTCCTAGTTTTCTGTAAATGTTTTTAGTTTTCTATTGTTGGGTGTAGCTGGCATCTTAGTTCTTTGAGCACAAGCAGGGTTTTTCTTGTTTTAAAGGAATCTTGTGTTTCACAGTCCTTGTACACATATTTTTTTGTTTACTAAGTCAACCACAAGTATTTTCCAGCCTACCTTTCCAATAAACAGTGTAATCTAATAGTGTGTCAAAGGTGACCAGGTAACACCCTAGGGCTTAAGGTACTTCAATTAGACTTCTGTTTAAAACTTACCTGCACCAGGTTCTAACAAATATAACAAATATAAGACAAATGAGACCACTAGGACAAGCACGAACAAAGAAACTCCAACAACGGTGCCGTGACACTTGGGGGAAACAGCAGCCTAAGAACTGGTTTGGCAGAGGAAGTGCCTGCTACAGGAAAGAGCTGGGAGAATCTAGCTGCAAGGTCAGAGCACAGCAGCCCGCACAGACAGGCAGGGAGCAGGGTGTGGCTGAGCCTAGGAAGAAGAGCTGTGGCCTCCAGATTCTTCCTCTCTGAGTATTTAGTCTACAGAGAGATTAACCTCAAGACTGGACGCAGCAATGGAGGCGAACAAAGCTGTGAACTTTCCTAAACAAGAGGATGAGCTATAGTCTACCCAGCAGAATGTGAGTACCGACCACCCTTCTTGACTATTACATCACACCAAGCCCTTCTGCTGACACGACATACCAGCCAAAGCACAGCCTCTGTGGGGAAGCCAAATATACAGCAGAAAAATTAAAAAATGCAAAGGCATACGACTTCAGGCAAGCAAACTTCTAAACAGCAAAACATGAGAGGGAGAGACAGCCACACAGAATTCCTACCAAAAAAAGTCTGCCTGAGAGTTGGTGACACCAAATCAGAGAACAGGAAATTGATTAAAGAAATTCAGTAGAGAAAGAACACTTAAATATCACAAGGTCTCAGAAATAAAGAATCTGAGTGTTGACTGAGAAATAGAATTAAGGAATTCTTCCAGAAAACAGAAAGACAAGGAGGCTACACAGGAAATCTATCAACTTATAAAAGCTAAAAAAGAAAAAATACAAAGAAAATCAACAGAGAAAAGAAACTGCTGCAGAAACAGAAAATGCCTTCTCCAATCTGAGATCTGAGTTTCTGGGTAGTCTGTAAATGATATACCAAGGCACAGCACCATGAAATTCCAGAAACCAGGGAAAAAGAAAAATCTTCCGGTGGGGAGTCAGGAATGTGTTTAAAAATCAGTTTACAAAATTGACACACCTCCTCCACCTCCTCTTCGAAGTCCTTTCCCTGTGAGGGCTGCAGACAGAGCCCAGATGCCCTGGGCGCTCTTCCTGTTTTCAGTAATTGCCTTGGCACAAGCAAGCTATCCGATTTCTTTAAGTACATGTAGGACTAAAGGAAACCTGAAGAAAAGAAACAGAACCTATCTATTCACTGGTCCCATTATTAAGAAATTTCTGGAAAAGGAAGGCAGGAAAGGAGTACTTTAGGGTAGTTTTGTTTTGAAACTTCAGAAACACTAGTGAAAAGCCAGCATGTCTCTGTTACCAACATGACAACGGCAAACCTGTGAAGTGAAAGTTAGTATTTACCATCAGGTGTGGTGGCATGTGCCTTTAATCCCAGGGCTGAGGAGGCAGAGGCAGGCCAACTCTATGAATTCAAGGCCAGCCTGGTCTACATTCTGGGACATCTAGAGCTACATACTGAGACCCTATCTCAAACAAAACAAAATGTGTTCATCCAGAAGCTTAGAGCAGAACTTCATTTAGTTTACCTCATTTATAAAGCAGAGAAGGTTCCTACCTCAGTGCCCTGCCGGCAGTAGGATAGGACCGGAAGTCTGCCCTTGCTCCGGAAGTTGGAACTGCCGACGATCACTGGCCGGCTAGCTGACCGGGGAACATACAGCTCTCTGGGATAAGTCTCACAGACCTGGGAATATCAAATGAAAGTACTTAACTCCAATCAGAAACCGTGAGGCTAGTGGAAGCAGGTGGATTAACTGCAGATCTTCACCTCTCCCTCTCTTCCCCCAAATCCAATCCCCCAGTCTCATCTCCAGCTCTGTAGCAGACCTGCTGTGGTCTTTCCTCTCTGCCTCAACTCTCAGGAATCTAAGCAGATCCCGGTGGAACATGTTGCTTTCCTCTCTCCTCCCGACCCCTGAATGCCCACTCCTGGCCCATCCTCATTCCAAAGTGTCCGCCCCAATTCCTAGAAACACATTTTTACATGCAACCCCAGTAACCATACCGATCAGGACCAGAATATTTGCTATTAAGCAACACACAGCCACTATACTCTCCTAGGAGCCAGAGATGAAACAGAAACTGAAGAACACACACTCAACAAAGACAAGTCCAGATGTCCACACCTAGAATTACAATCTTCCTAATGCCAGATCCCCAGACACCAGCATGAAAACACAGTAACAGCCAAGACAGTGTGTCTCCATTAGAGCCAGCAGCCCTGCTACAGCAGGCGCTGAGGAGCCCATCATAGCAGACGACCTTAAAACAGCCCTTATGAATACAACAGAGGGCCTTAAAAAGGAAATCAATACATTCTTAAAGAAATCTATGAGCCGGGCGGTGGTGGCGCACGCCTTTAATCCCAGCACTTGGGAGGCAGAGGCAGGCAGATTTCTGAGTTCGAGGCCAGCCTGGTCTACAGAGTGAGTTCTAGGACAGCCAGGACTACACAGAGAGACCCTGTCTCGAAAAAAACAATAAATAAATAAATAAATAAAATAAATCTATGAAAACACAAAAACAGTAAAAGACCTGAAAGTGGAAAAAGAACTAATAAGGAAAACCCCAAATCAGAGAAGGGTGGAAATGGCAAATTTAGAAACTTGAACAAGAATCACAGGGGCAAGCTTCACCAACTGAATACAAGAGATGGAAGAGAGAACCTCCACCACTGGAAACAAGAAAACAGAAGAAAATGTGAAGTCTAAACAGACTTCTGGCATAAGACATTCAGGAAACCTGGAACACCACGAAAAGACCAAATTGAAGAAAAATAGGAATAAAGGAAGGAGAAGAAACCCAGATAAATGGAACAGAAAATACTTTCAACCAAATCATAGAAGAAAATTCCCCTAACTCAATGGAGATGCCCTCAAAGTACAGACCACCAAATTGATAACTAGAAAAGAAGGTTCCTCAGCTCAAAATAAGCAAAATGCTAAATGTATAGAGCAAAGAAAAAGTTAAAAGCTGCAAGGGAAAATGAACAAATAACATATAAAGGCAGACGTATTAAAACTACACCTGACTTCTCAATGGAGATTCTGAAAGCTACCTGGACAGATGTGCTACAAATACTAAGACACCACAGGTGCCAACCCAGACTAGTATACCCAGAAGACTTTTCCGTCACCATAGATGGATAAATTAAGATATTTCATCATAAAGCCAAATTTAAGTAATATTTATCTACAAATCCAGCCCTACAGAAGGTACTAGACTGAAAACTCCAACCTAAAGAGGTTAGCCATACCCCAAAAGACACAGGGAATAAATAATCCCAAACCATCAAAATCAAGAGGGGAAGTGTATACACACACACACACACACACACACACACACACACAACCATGACCACCAAAATAAAAGGAAACCACAATCATTAGTCATTGACTTCTCTCAACATCAATGGTCTCAATCCTCCATTAAAATCACACAGATGAACAATATAGATTCAAAAACAGGACCTATCTTTCTGCTGTATCCAAAAAAGACACCCTAACATCAAGGATCTATCATGCCAGGGTAAAAAATTAGAAAAGGATATTTCAAGTAAATAGACCTAAGAAGCAAGTGGGTGTATCCATCTTAATATCCGACAAAATAGACTTCAAACTAAAACTAATCAGAAGAATAAGGAAGGATACTACAGACTCATCAAAGGAAGAGTTCACCAAGAGGACTTGAAATTTGTAACATCTATGCAGCAAACACAAGGGCACCCAAGTTCATAAAAGAAATACTACTATAGCTTAAATCACACATTGACCCTCACACACTGATAGTGGGAAATTTTAATACCCCACTTTCACCCATTGACAGGTTATTCAGACAAAAACTAAACAAAGAAACACTGGATCTAATGGACATATAAATAAATGAACCAAAGAGATATTTACAGAACATTTCACCCAAACACAAAAGAATATACCTTCTTCTCAGCACCTCACAGAACTTTCTCCAAAATTGATCATATACTCAGACACAAAGGAAATCTCAACAATATAGGAAAACTGAAATAACACCCTGCATCCTATCAGACTACCATCGATTAAAGCTAGATTTCAACAACAGAAAGCCTACAAAGTCAAGGAAACAGACCAACTCTCTGATGAATGTAAAATAGGTCAAGAAAAAAATTAAAGGCTTTCTAGAATTGAATGAAATGAAAATACAACATACCCACACTTACGAGACATAATAAAGGTGGTTCTAAGAGCAAGTTCATAGCGCTAAATGCCTACATAAAAAGAGGTAACAAACTAGATAAATATTGTGAGGAAAAAAAACCAACCAACCAACCAACCAAACAAACAAACACAAAAGACACCTCTAAAACACTGACAACAGTGAGAGCAGCACGATGCTCTACAGACGGCTGACCCTCCCCACACTGCCCTTAGCACTGTCTTCCGACCTGCTGCAGAGGCTGCTGGCTTACCTTGTACTCTCGGTTGACATCGGACAGTTGCCAGTTTGCATTGGGCACTCCCATTCTCTCATACTCCGCAGCAAGGTCAATAAGCTGCCAACCATTCAGTCGTTCAGTATCATTTTGCTTGGGATTATAAGAAAATGCATAGAGATCTTCATATTTTGCTGCAAAATAGTAAAGGTCAATAGATGAAATATACAAGGCAGTGCACTACAGATAAAACTATTTTCAGGGATTTTTCCTCCTTTTTTCTTTAAAATCTTCAAAGAAGTGGCCAAGACATGAACATACCTGAATCTAAAACTTAAAACAAATGACTATAGTTAAAGGCACTCATATGGACGTAGATTTATGTTATAGCCAAAGGTACCTTAAAAGTTAGATCTTCTATTGCATGCTTTTCCTTTTTCTTCAATATTACATTTGAAAAACACAGACACTTCTTATTTATCCTTTTCCACAAACACACCACAAAACAAAGTACCACAACTAAAAACTAGAAATGACCAGGTGTAGTCCATGCCTAAAGCCCCAGCATTCACAAGTCCAAGGCAGAAGGACTGTGTTTGAGACCAGCCTAGGATATATAGTGGGAGCACATTAAAGAAAGAGAGAGGGTGGGATAACAATAACAAACAAAACAGAGATGGCAAAGAGAGCATGAAACTGCATTACATGCTCTTTTTAAGTTAATTTAATGTGTGGGTGTTTTGTCTGCATTTATGTCTGTGAAACACATTTGGCCCTCGTGCCTATGCAGGCCAGAAGAGGGCATCTGATCCTCTGGAACTGGAATTATAGATGGTTGTGAACTACCTTGGGGGTGCTGGGCATCAAACCCTGGTCCTCTTGAAGAACAGACAATACTCTTAATTATTGAACCATCTTCTCCAGCCCCAGAATTAGCCATTCTTATAGGTCAGTACGGACCCAAACCAGGAAGGACATTGACACACAAACATCTTTGTTATATACCTTGGTTCAACCTAGGACAATGGCATGTATGAGACTCTATGTGCTCAGAGAGAACATGGACCTACTCCTAGATCACTCATGTGGGTCTCCATCTGAACTGCTCAATTGAAATCCAGCCCAATAGGCAATCCGAGTTATGTTTAGGATAGAAACCTTCAGATCCTCAAGCCTGAGTAATGGAAGATTCACTTTTAGGGTTTCTAGCCCTTCCAACCCTCCATTTACTACAATAGGATTCTTTTGTCTCCTGGTTCATCTACCACCCTAGCCACTGCTACTAGAGGACCATGACCATCTGTGGCTTTTCACTTAGTAATACCTCTTCCATTAGTAGAGAAAACCCTAATTAAAAACAAAGTAAGGAGCTAGGGAGATAGGCTGGTTCAGTTCCCAGCATCCAAGTAAAAGGCCAGCTGTAATAGCACATGGCTGTAATCCCAGGGCTGGGGAGATAGAAACAGGTGGCTCCTTGGGGCTCAGCCAGTCTCACCTAAACTGACAAGTCCTGCCTCAGACAATGAAGTAGATAGTTCCTAAGTAAAGACACTGAATCCCGACCTATACACACACACACACACACACACACACACACACACACACACGCTTCTACATCTGCACAAACATGAACATATACACAATGTGCTACTTGATTATCAATCTAAGGCAGTATTATAATACCTTTCCTTATATTATTTCTTCATTGAACATTAATCTTACAGTTCAAAGCATTAGATTCTATAATTTCTAAACCACTGTGGAGAACCAGTGGTGTAGAAACAACTGAGGGGATTGACAGTACATATGAACCTAAATATAACTTAAGGGTAAAATAATGACACTTTAAAGTATCCTGGAAAACCCATCTTGATTGAGCATGAGAGCTGTGCTCTCTAAGAATAATACCTTGTTTTGAGAGTTGTAGCAGAGAGTTATAAATATCATGGCAATCTCTTTCCCTGGGAACAATGAAATGCACAATCCTGAAGTTCTTGCACTGAATCACGAGTGGACATCCAGAAGTGGTCAGAGCAAGTTTCTCCACAGAGGCAATATGGTGGTGTAGTATCTACAGCATAAAAAAACCCCAGTCACCAACACACAAAGCACTGGTATTTGTTCTTCTCTAGACTGCATACATGTTGATGCTTAAATAAAGCCTCAGATGTAAGATGCTATCACATTTAACACATTGCAATGACTTGATGCCTGAGTCAAGAATATGTTGTCATTTCTGTTTCCTCCATGTCAGTAAATGCTGGCCGAGTGAGGGGGCACAGTGTAGCAGCAGAACCAAGGTGGTAAAAAATATGGCCAAGGCTCCCCCTCTGGACTCTGAGTATGCCACACAATTTCCTAGTGTTTCTACTTAGGGTGTAATCTGCATTTTACTTATGTATCATTTGTTTCTCTTGCCTCGAACATGATCTCCACAAGAACAGAGATTTTATGCTAAGATTGGCCATTGTTTCCAAAATACCAAGAATGGAGGTATAAAAACACAGCAGGTACTCAGCCCGGATCTGCAAAGGAATGAGGAATAGGGAAGAAGACAAGATGACAGGTAGCCATGACAACCTTGAAGAAGAAATTGAGAGTACCAGCAATCCTGTGTACCAACACATATAAGATGCTACTGTTAACAAACAAGTGAGGCAGGTAAAGGGTAGTCCAATATGCCAAAAGAACAGGACAACAGAGCAACAAAGTTTTATCATGAAAGAGCTGCAACAAAAGGAACATAGCGACAAAAGGAACGAAGCACCCAAAAAATAGTGCCTAATCCCATGTCATGCCATACACCTAGATCTCTCCCAGGTGGCTTAGGAACTGCCGAGTGGGCAATAAAACAAAAGTGTCTGAAGAGGAAAACAGAGGGAACTTCCTTACACTGACATGCAGAAGTTTCTTAACTGTACCACACATGAACAAAAACATAAAAGAAAAAACTGAACAATTTCTGTTAAAAATGTAAACTTTAATAGAAAGACAGGGACATAAAAGCATACAAAAGACTAGCTATTACTGAGACAAATACAATCTGATAAAGTGTTAAAACCCAGAACTTTTATAAAACCAGAAGACAGGGCTGGGGATGTCACTCAGTCAAACCTGTCCCTTACACAAAAATTAAAATAATTTTTAAAAGTCAATAAATAGAAATAAAAAGAACAGATAATTCAACAGAAAGAAAACCCACAAACCAAAACATGTGCAGGGATGACTTCTCTGTCCTCAACAAGAGAACAGTCAGTTGCTCATCTGAATTAGATAGGTAGGCATCTGTACGGTGGCCATGCCAGTGTTGCTGAGGAATTGGGAAAATGTGACACCCCACTATAAGGAATAGCCTGGAACAACCATTTGCAGCCACAATATGAAAGTTTAAACATGTGTTTTTATAAGACCTAGCCATGTCTTCTTACTCCCAGGAAAATGTCCAAGAGAAACACCAGAATGTGTATAGAAAGAAATGCCCCACGAGATGTTTGTGGAGTTGACATTCAACATCACAGAATTTGGGGGTGGTGTCAATAGTTTCATCCCAGTTAAAAAAAAACAAAAACAAAAACAAAAAAACCCCAAAACCCCAAGCTTAATTTTGCAACCCCTCCATCCCACCCACTTCACTGCTAATAATCTATAGACTACAAGTATTTCCAGTATAATGTATTAACCCATTAATCCATTTTATATTATACTAGACACAGTGAAAATGAGAGGCCCCCGGGAATGTCACTTTTTATTACACTATGCAATTTCCTAGAGAAACAATCAGGATCTGTTTGTGACTTGATGATCAGCAACCCACAGCATTTTAACCAGATTCCTGCAGCAGGTGATCTTGCTGCAATAGTACCAGAAGTGGCTACAAAATTATTTCAGTAGTATAGTATGTTAACTCCCAATGGTACCATCGATACATTGTGTCTATATGTGTAAAATGATAAATTTGTGTAATAATAAATGACAAAAATGACCATATATTTAATATATCATGACATATTTAACTTTTTCTTAATTTATGTACTACTCCTGTGCAACATGATTTACCTGTACGTTTATTTTTCAAATTGTAATCTGAAAAATAGAAAAGAAAAGGAGAGCTGGAGCTATAGCTCAGCAGTTAAAAGCATGTACTGGTCCTGCAGGACCTGAGTTCAGTTCCCTGCATCTATATCAAGTGGCTCAAACCACCCGTAACTCCAGTTTCAGAGATCTGATGCTCTCTTCTGTACTTCAAGGGCACCGGAAGTCATACATGCACATACTCCTACACAGAAATACACCCACATACATAAAAACAACTCAGCGGATGAGTGGACCTATACAGTTCAAATCTGACATGTTACTGAAGTATCCACTGCATGCTATCTGCATATGTACACATACACATGTCCTTAGAAGTATGCCTGTAATGCAGTATTTGGACATATATACAAAATATTTGCATAAGTATAGTACAAAGTTTAAAGTTACAAAAGAAAAATCTCCTACCTGTAATTAGGCAATAAAATGCTATGGAATATAATATACAATCCATATGGTTGCTAATATGCACAAACATTACCTTGACTTTAAAAAAAAACTAAAGGAACAAAGAGGCATTTTCTAAGTTTTTACAGAGGTTAAAAGAGTCTGGTATTCTACATAATTCCATATTACAAGTGGTGTAAATTATTCATAGAAAGGAGGAGTCACTTGAAAATAGAAAAAAAAATAATTGATCTCTGAGTAGTTACACATGCCTGTAATCCCAGCTCTCTAGAAGATATAGGAAGTTCAAGGTCAGCCTGGGATATATAGCAAGACCCTGTCCAAAACAAAAACAACAAACACAAAAACCTAACAAAAAATTGGTAGAGATAAATAACTAGAGAATAAGTAACGAGCCTACTGTTATTGCAAAGGTAGACAGTCCACCTTACCCAGGTTTCTTTTTGCTGAGCGTCAATAAATAATAGGTGTGTGGCCGTAAGATACAGTGTTCCTGTCAGTGACTTGTTGTTGGTACTAAACCGGTCAAGTAATTTTACTTGTTCAACCTAAGAAAGAAAAAAAATGTTATTTTTCATATCGAAAGTAGGTTACTTTTTATTTCTGTTGCTATAATAAATCATCCTGAGTAAAAGCATCTTAGGGGAAGAACAGGTTTATCTGGCTTATCCTTCCAGGTCACAGTCCACCACTGAGCGAAGTCAGGGCAGAAATCTGAAGCACAAGGCATGGAGGAACACTGCTTGCTGGCTCGCTCTGTAGATTCCTTGCTTGATCACAGGCTAATGCTTAGAGGGCTTGCTTTCACAGCCCAGTACCATCTGCCCAAGGAATGGTGCTGCCCAGTGTACAGGGCATCAATCATTATCAATTACCAACCAAGACAATCCCTCACAGACAGACCCACAAACCAATCTAATCTAGACAATTCCTCAGTTAAGGTTTCTCCTTTCTCTTAACCCTACACTGACTTAACTGAACAATTAAGGCTAACCAGGACAGTAGTATAAATAATTTTTTTTCTAATCCCAGGAACTACATGCATCATTATCATATCTTTCCTCTTTTTTTGTCCAAAAACACAAGAAGTTGCTTAATGTTCAGGGTAAAATGTCTTGCTTCTTGAAGGAACAGACACACAGATATTTAGATGCTAATGCAACCCAGGGAAGATTTGAAGAAACGTCAGCACTGTTGTACAAGGAGCAAGAAGTGCAGTGTGAGTAAGCTAAGTTCTTTCCCCCCTAAGAGCCCACTTTCTAAAGAGAGCACGTATAGTATCTGTTGGGTAGCAGCTTCCATACTTAAGGAAAGCTCCTTAACCAGGAAGTAAACAACTCCAGATAGCTTCAGGAAGTCCCTGCAACTGAGCAGATTCTCTAAGCAGCTCCCTCCCAGAGTAGACAAAAAAGCTGCTTAGAGTCATTTGCAACCTGCAAAGATTCTGAGACCAGACCCATACTACCTGGAAGAAAACAGAAAGCAGCTGAAATATCTAGAAAAGGTTTAAAGCAACTAACTCACTTAGATCAGACACTCTCCAACCTTTTTCGCTGCCTGCAGGCTGTGCAGTGAGTTCCAAGTTTCTAGGTTTTGTGAAATGTAATGAGTCCTGGGGTGGGCTTTGGTGATGCAGCTGTCTTGGAGTCATATGTGATTTTGTAAGTAACCTCTCACCCACATTCCTGTAACTCCTATAAAATGCATGGTTCACCAAGTTGGACTTTGGTGGTATTTACACTTTGTTCTGTTATGGGCTCCTATCTGAGGTGTGCAGAGATGTGTGTAGTGTCTCCCCAAGTTCTGTTATACAACACTATACAATTTTACCTTAAGTGGAAAATCAAGTGATCACATAAAGTTCCAGAAGTACACTACTGAGAAAATTCACTTAGGAAACCACAGCCTGCAAGCTCCAAGTCATGGTCTATATTCCCCTCACTGCTGTACCAAACTGGACAGATGTGCAGCTAGCTCTGGCTCTTGCTCTTCTACAAGGCTGTTCTCTGCTCAGCAGAGGACAAGTGGCAAGCATTCTCCTATACTCACTGATGCCCCACCTTCTAAGGTAATTCTTACTTAGAAAGTTAATTTGTTACTTATGTCACTTTGTCTCTTTCTTTGCCAAGTTCCCTGGCACAAACTATCCTAAAGTTAGCCAGGAGACTACAGCTTTAAAATTTAATGTAAAGCTACATCACAGGAGGTTGTGGACAATTCTTTAAATTGTGTAGATCTTCAAATCAAAGAGTTCACTATTGTATCATTAATCATCTCCTTCCTCTTCCTCCTCCTACTCTTCCTCCTTTACCACCTCCTCTTCTGAATCTTCCTCTTCTTTTTTAGTTTTTCTAGACAGGTTTTCTCTGTGTATCCCTCACTGTCCTAGAATTTGATCTGTAGACCAGGCTGGCCTTGAACTCAGAGATCTGCCTGACCCTTCCTAGTGCTGGGATTAAAAGCATGCACCACCACATCTGGCTTTTATCATTAATTCTATACTTTCCTGATATGTTTATTTTTCTCTTAACAGCTAAAGAACAAAATACTATCATTATGAACTGATTATCCCCAAAGTAATCAATCAGCTTCTCACCTTTCTTCATGTCCTATTACTTACTACCATGGGGAGAATTCTTGCTTGTAACATCACCATTTAAATGAGTTAAAACTTAAATGTAACTTTAAAAACGTAATATAATACTTTATTTTCATGATTAAGACAATAAATTTAGTGTAGATACTTCCCACTGGAAACTCAGAAGTATGGTCTGACATACAGCTCAGGTCAGACAGTGGACCTGACATCTAACAAGTGATCATTTTACACTGACATCAAGAACACAGGGGAGCCCGGTGTGGTTTTGCATTGGGGAGGCTGTGGAAGGAGAATCATGGGCTCAAGGCCAAGGGCAAGGGTAGAGGTGAGGGTGGGGGAGGAGTAGGAAAGCTTTTTGCTCCATAAAGGTATCTTTAGAAAGTCAACATTTATTTCTATGTTTAGGGCCATTTCTCCCTCAAGTTAAAAAAAATGGCTTCATTTAGCTATACTGAAAATTGGAACTTCAATTTAAATATCTTTAAAGACAAACAGGACCAACTACTTACTGTCTATTCCTCTCCAACTGTCAAGAATTGTCAACACCACACCTGGCTCCCCTGTGTTCTTGATGTCAACAGAAAATGATCACTTGTTAAACGTCAGGTCCACTGTACGACCTGAGCTGTATGTTAGACTATATTTCTGAGTTTCCAGTGGGAAGTATTTACACTAAACTTATTGTCTTAACTATGCAAATAAAATCTTATATTATGTTTTATTTTTATTTACATTGGCTGGAAAGGGACATAGTCAACCAGTAACTATGACCAGAACACCACAGGCTCTCTTAATTTACTTTCTTTAAGAAGAGCAGCAGTGACCCTGCATGGAGCTAAGTGTTATGGGAAAGTATCAAGACCACTGGAAAGGTCAATGATTTGTAGAACTTCAAAGAGCTCCTCAGAAAAAATAAAAGAGAGTTTTAAAGGGTGGGGCTATGAACAAACAGGAAGTCAACTTTAAAAGGAAGTCCATGAGAAGTTTCTTGGTTTGTAAATCCTTAAAAGACAGTAAATTTGTCTCACCTAAACCTCAAATTGTGGTACATTTTTTTCTGTAAGGTACAATTTCTTACAAAGCTTGTCTATACGAGAAACAGTCTCTCAGTTTTCATTCTGATACTCCTGGTCCTTCACTACTCTGTTTTCCCAGTACATACTATGTCCTATGTTGCACTGGCCTCCTGCAGTGCCCCAGTCAGGGAAGTGCAGCTTATGTCTCTACCAAAACTAGTGCACATAGACAGCCGGTTTCAAAAATAGGAAAAAAGTCAGGAAGGCATCTTACACACCCAGATGAAGATTCATCTGCTATTCACTATTACTTTTGCTCAAGGGCCCATTCCCCTTTGGGGAGGGGTGTCAGGGAGATAGTTTTGCCAGGTAGCCCAGGCGGCCTTGGATATTTTCAGCCTCTTGCTGCAGCCTCCTGTGACCTGGGACGGAGGCACGACAGGCAGGCTCACTTTGGGAGCTAAGGCTCTATTCTCTATATGAATCTCATTCATTACCATTATTTCAGCCTGTTTGCTAGTGATCCCCGGAATCTGACTGAACTCTGAGTTCTTACTGTCTGCTACCCACATAAGAGTACTTCCTGACATAGTATTATGATGAATGCTTGACATATATTATTAATTTTCATTTTCACAACCCCAGTAGCACTTACTACCTACATACAACTGGACACTACATAGAACCAGGACAGCAGTTCCAACTTTGTGCGGTCTGATTCCCAACTGACCACTTAGCCAGCTATTATGCTATCTGCACTTGAACATCTTAAGAGTCACACTTTGCTCGTTTCCCTCCTCCCTCTCAGTTTGCATTTCATACGTGACTAATGTCCACATCAAGTTGTCAGCACTAGAAACCATCCTACTGACTTCTTGACTCACCTACTCAGCTACTTCAAGCACTGCTCCTTCCACCAACATCATAGGACTTAGTATGCTAAAGTGAAAGCATGCTCATGTGTCTGTTTCTCCTGCTGAAAACTAGTATATATCTCAGGACAAGCACTGTCTCTTTTTTTCTTCCTGAATCCCTCTTGGTGGCTAGAATAGTATTTGATACAATGGATTTTTACTCACTTCAGATGAACTGCCACAGAGAGCTTACTTCTCAGAACAGAAAAACAAATGGAAGATGGCCACAGTATACCAGTGGTCCCTTGCTGAAATCATTAAAGAGATTTATAAAATAGGATTCTTCTTTATCTCATTATTCTGTTATTTTCCTATGCTGCCTTTACCTTCTACAGTGGCTGACCAGGAAATACTCATTCAGGAATCCGTGTATGAACCATAAATTAAAAATAAGTAGAAAAACTGCTAGGGAACAGATTGTTAAACTTGCTCTACTATCTGTCTGTCCATCCATCTATCCACCTCTTTACTTTGGCAATACAGTTCTTACTGGGAAGTCTAATTCTCTGTCCCCATATCATTACTCAGAGAAAATTTCTGTTTTAGAGTACTTTATAGAATACTTCACAAATGCTTTCTCTGAGCACTATGGAAAACTATGGGATTCTTATGGGTCTACATCAAGGTGAAAATTCCAGTCGAAAATAATGCAATAATCTATATGCATACTTCCTGCCCTCAAAGTTGGATCTTTAAATTTGGTTAGCTCTGTTCAAGATTCAAGGTCCAGTTGTTCATTGGAATAACCTCCCAAACTGCAAAGGTGTCAGTCCCCCGCCACAACTCAACTCTACCATGTGATGGAGGAATAAGACCAAGACAGTATTTAAGAAGTTCTGCTCATTCTTACCCAACAGTTTTCCTTCTACTTCTCAGTCTGAATTCTCCCCCTGCTCCTCCTCAACTCACACACCTTTAGACTAGTGCCCTAAATACTTAAGGTTTAGCATGTCTAAATCTCCCACTTTTAAAATGATTTTATTATAATGTTAGCCCTTTAAAAAACACAGACAGGCATG